TTTGCATAAAACTAGACCTTATATTCATTGACCGATACGATCTTTGATTAACTAAATATATTTTTTAGAGAGAATAAATAAAGTCAAGAGAATGTGTAACTTGACATAGTACCTAGCAATCTGCAACTTCGCACAAGTTAATGCGTTATCAAAACCCTTCTTATGAGTTTCACAACAGCCTCTAAATATTCCAGATGATCTATCTCGGATAAAGTATACACCACAAATTCATTACTACAGACTTCAACTTTCTTCAAATTATTAAGCGGTTACGCCACTAGCCGTCTAAAAGTAAACAGTGCTCCTGCAAGGCCAAATGACATTCCTATAAATTGATAGTGTTTCTGCCTCACTATGGAAGCCGTTTTCTCTCTATCACCTGTTATCGGGGACCACCAGTTAACCGGGTGTAATTTCAATACCGTGTGCAGTATGGTGTTTGAGATACCGTCAGTATCGGACATGATTTTATATCAGTAATTCTGTTTAGCTCTGTAAAATCCACAGAACCTATATTTCCTGCCTAACTTATTCATTAACAGCATAGAAGAAAGGTACTGGGTGTTGGATTCTTCAGTTATACCATCCTCCAACATCTGGACTGCTTCTGAGTAAACAGGAACAAGGGGAGTTAAAAATTTGGTCTTTTCATTATTTTTGTTAGCTGTATTCCATGTACTGCTTTTGTCACAACATCCGTATGGTTCTCTATCTTCATCAAATAAACTCGTATACTTATAATTCAACTAAGTGATGACAAGTGCTTCTTTCTGCAGTACTTATTTTGCACTAACATCTGCTATTTCAATACCTTCGACAAGTAATCCTTGTGTCATCATTACCCTTCTATTTCTAATATCAATGATTGCACCTGCCTCTGTCAAGAAATCTGCTCGTAGTATACTTCACCGTAAGCTAGTCGTCAAAACATACAGGAAGCGAATTTTATGGCCTTCACTTCGACCGTTACTGTGAGAGTTCAAGGAAGATAGACAGTAAAACAAATTAGTCTGGACTGAATGATGATTTGAATTTGGTATTCACCATGGACTGACAGTTGCTGGAACATTCGGAACCTGAGATCACTGGATAGACATTCTGTCCCATGGGATCGAACCCAGTATCCTCAGCTCCTGTGAGAAGCACTTTAACAATGAGTCACTGGGTTCGAATCTAATGGCCCATATTTTCAACTTCTGTCTGTATAGTGCTGATTGGTGACTTGTTTCGGCCGGTGATTCCTGAAGTCTCAAAGAGAAGTCGTGACCAGTAGGGAAAATATGGTGGTCGTGAGGATATATACTCAATGATGAAATTCGGTGACGATCTCTCCATATCGTGAACTGACAGAAGTTGAAAATATGGAACATTGGATTCCAACCCATTGACTCAATGGTAACGGGGTGGTCATGGAACCTGAAGGTTCTTGGTCCGATCACTGACGGTGTGAGGTCATGGTTGTGCACTGCTGAGGAGACTCGTAATGGGACGAAGTGGCTGTCCAGTGCTCCCAGGTTTACAATTCTCCTCCAACTGGTGTCAGTTTGTGGTGAAAACTAACTAATATTTCAAAGAAATATTTGAGTTTCTAGCTCAACAAGAGGAATCACTTGTTTATCACAAACATTTGGACAATTTCAAGAATTTCATGCATTTGTTTCTCTTGATCAGCTTAAATAATGCAAGAGGAAAGGGGGCTGAGGAGCGAAATAGATCTGGCTTATTTCATCACAATCTCTGGATTCGTTTATAATCTATAGGATGAGAAGTAAAACTAAATATTACCCTACCTGGAGACGAGGTAGTGAGGATGTCATGAAGGACAATTAAAAGTATTTAGATGACAGTTTTTTGAGAGGCAATGTAGCTGATATCAATCCATAATGAATGCTAACTTGGAAACAGTAAATCTCTAAAAATCCTCAAATTAAAATGAACGTTAACTGCTGAGTGCAAACAATACTCGAAACTTCTATCACGGTGCATATTTGAAAATATCATTAACGTTGTTAAAATCTGAGACGTTCAGTGATTTTTATAACTCGTTTTTATGATAATCTGAGATATTTTGTTCTGAAAAGAATAGTCAGAAGTTAATTCACTATAACGCCTGTTTTATAAGTGTACCTAAACACTGACAATAGATTTCACTTGCTTACTACCTTATATCATAGATAACTGAATTTGTTCTACAGATATTACAAGGATTCGCTCAAAGAATCATATAGTTTTCTTAAGCAGAGTGAAATATTGTGGAAATTACTTTTATTGAGATGTAACTGAAGCTACTGTGATTCTTGCCAGAAAAAAACCCAACTATTTTGTTTTAGTAATCTTTCAACTCCCTACTAATAAAACCTATCATTTGAACAATGAAGTTTTAGTTTCCTGTGTTCCTAAAATGATTACAGGCACCTTCTAGCTGTTCAGAAGTCACTTTTTTTAAGTACCACAGTTTTCACAGGTTGCTTTTGGACACAGTCACATTATTTAGTAGGCAGATCATATTTGAGAAATGCAGAGGAAATAATAGAGTCTGTCTTGCGTCTTTCATCTTTAATGGATTTAAGATAAAATTAGTGATAGTATTATAGATAATACGATATATTATCACTTTACCAGGCCTTCATTCCTCAACCAGCTATGGATTGAATCACGACAGTAGACTTTGACTAAATTTAATTAACAATTTTTTCGAAAAAGTAACTTTTTTTTGAAACATTAACCATGCTTAATCAACATTAAATGAAGAATCATTGAAATTTATAGATTAATGTACAGACCCTCTGTCCTATTACTGTTTGGAAGATGAAACCAGTGGCTTTTGAAGAATCTGGAAATAAGAAGAAATAATGTTTTAGAACTCCAAGGTCTTACATAATTCCCAAAGTGGTATAGAATCCTGATGTGAACTATTCTAAGATTTTGGAATTTTTTTAACTCACTTTTGCATTCTAATGAGAATGTCCTAAAACCTATTTTGGTAAATTCAAGTGTTTCTGCAACTGACTAACATAACGAATTTTGGTGTACTGAGACTTTCCAAGCTGAACATCTATTTATAAACTTTTATAGGAGTTTCTCTAATTTTTAAGGGTGAGTTTTCTTTATGTTTTCTGATAAAATGCCTCTGAATTTTCGTGTTAGGGTAGATAGACAGACGAACAGCGGTATTGTGTGAATATCTCACTGGTTAGATACAGTAACCTAAAATCTTCCCGCTACTTATTTCCTAGTTTTGTGCGATAGTTCGCTAAAGTTATTTTTATCACAATTTAATGCTGACAGTCAATCAGACAGTCAGGTACTTTATTGCTACTTTCGAACAGAAAGAACGTAGAATTCGTTAGTAATTTAAATTTCTTTGACATCATCTATGGTCGAATATAATTTACAATGTACTACACAAACTAATAATGCATTTTTGCCCTTGTTTCACAACTAAAACCTCTGTTAAATAGTTGAAACTCTTTGTGCAATTCAATGGTTGTAGAGAAGCAGAATTGACCTACCTAAAAGCAGCAAAAGAGAAGATCAAGATAGTGTGTAGAGGTGATACGTAGTCTTGACCATATTTCACATCATATCCATTTAAACGGAAGATAAAATAGGTAGTAGTCAGTGGCGAATTGTTTTCCAGATAACTGATAAAAGTGAATCAGTAGTATGTCTAGCTATTCCCATACTCAAGCCAATGCATCATTAGTTTTTGTTGAATTCTGTTTACATTGAAGCAATTCCTGGCAATGTTTTTCTACCATGTGGCTTTTAAAGACATAACACAAGATACATTCCAAATGAATTTCAGAACTTTTGAATTTGTCCTACATTCCACTCATAACTGTCTACTGTGAACCGGTTTTTTTCGTTAAGTTAATAATAGTTTGAGGCTGTTATTCATTGTGTCAGAATTAACCCTAAAATATGTTTGAAATATCCTAAAAAAGAGGCTCTAATTATTCCAAGTCCATTAAATTGAAAACTCCTGTTTCATGCCTCAAGAATGCTTTGATAATTTTTTTACAGGTACAAAGAGAAAATAATTTTGTCTGATCTTTCACAGTGATTAAGCTTACTTTCCACCAGATATGAAGGAAACGCCCTCTTGAGTTTCAGAGAAATTTCGTTTTCAGACCTATTTTCACAGCTTTCTGATGAATTTATTGCTCTCTTTAGTTACCCCATAATGACACAACGATAGCCTACGCTCTTCCTATAGACGAACATCATGCACATTATAACGTTCAGAATACGACAGTTAGAGGTAAAATACAGGTTTCACTGTTGCCTGAAAAAAAATTTCAGTCACTAAGTAACACATCCTATATTGTCCCCGAAGGTAAGACAGACAAGATCGAATTTCACTATTACTAATGGGTTTGAGAATCGATTGTACTGTTAGTGAACATGCTAGAATTATAAGGAAAATATCATATTCATTCACACTAATTACATCATTCCGAACTATAATAAAATTGATTGGCCAATTGGAGATCACATTTGTTAGTCTTTCAAAATTGCCCAATCAGAGATCATATGTTTCAATGTCAAACTACAGTCAGCTTCCTATAGTTTGTTTTTAAGCTTTTATAAAAACAGTTTTTTTTCTTGTTGAGATGGTTTAGTAAATCAGTATTCTTTGCTCCATATACTTCACGTTACAGTGAAATACTACTCATAATAATGATGTAAGCAATGTTTACCTGTAAATGGTCAGTATTCTGTTCACTTATTTATACTGCACTGTCAATTATTTCTTCCTCTACTGGAATTACATCTGAAATCAGTGTCATCAGCCTGTCAGTGAACAGTTCATCAATTAATTTGAGTTACAATGTGGCACTCAATGTTACTAGCGAAAATGGCACATACAAATATCTATACAATAATTTAAAAAGTTATTTTCTCACGTGGTATCTACCTACGGTAATAATCTTAGGAGTTGTTGGTACTGTATTCTGTTTAGTCTTTCTCTTCTATCGAGATTATTTCCACAAAATATGTTGATATGGTTGGTTAGTATATGTTTTGGAGATTTCTTCATCCTTTCTTTGGAAGGCATATGGATGCTTTTAAAAGTCTGGTATAATTATGATATTCGTGATATAAATAATTTCATTTGTGTAGTGCATACAAGTTTATCGAATTATTTTTTCTATTGGTCAGCTTATATGCAGACTATGTTGTCATTACAGCGAGCCTATCTAATTATTAGGCCTTTGCGAGCTAGAAATAGTGGTCCAAATATGGTTTGGCTTCTTAGATTATGGTCAATGATATCTTTATGTCTTGTATTGCCCATTTTGCCATATCCAATTTACTGGCGAGTTATTAACGGTGATTGTGACCCCACAAACACAGATTTGTATCATGTTACTACTTTAAATGACTTTATTATCTGGGGTCTAGTCCCATTAGTTGGCATGACAACATCTACGGTTATCATATGTTGGAATATATTTCGACTTAGGAAATGTTTTCGCATGGTCACATCTGCCATTTACCTACAAGAACAGGAACAACAGCAAAAATCCAGAGAATCTAGATTCAGTACGATGGTCTATCCATTGAAACAGTATAATGTACTTGAGAACTACCATAAACATTCGCATTCACTATCATTTTCTGAGTCCGCTCTTCATATGTCAACCAAAATAGATATGATCTATCACCGAGAATTTATAAACCATTATCTATTCATGATATTATTGACCAACCTTTAAATTGTAACGCACCAAGAAGCAATAAAACAGTTTTCAGAATGACAAATTCTTTACCTCCCCGCAGAAATTATGCAAGTCAGTGTAAAACACTGTCTGTTGAACAACTTACTAGTTGTTTAAAACCAGCTAGCTTATCTGGTTACCGCCATGGTGCTACAGATAATGCAGGACATGTGACACGACTTTTGATATGTATGAACGTTTGGTATATGGCAAGTACATATCCTCTAATTATATACTTAATTTTATTAAATTTCCTACTGACAAATGTCGATCGTGATGTACACAAATTCATGTATTATCTATCAAGAAGCCTTTGCTTTTTAAATGCATGTTCAAACTGGATATTCTATTGCGCATCAGGGCGATTGTTTCGTTCACGTATACGTCAACTGATACGTCGTTTCATCTACCGCATACATTTATATCATTCCAGTCAAAGTTCTGCTCCCTTGCCGCCAGATTATACAAACCATTTTAAAAATCAGTTTGCATTGAATACAGCAACCAGTGGACATCACACGCGCATAACGTCTTTATTTAAATTTGCAAATGCATTCCGGAAAGATACCAAAATTTTGAATAATCAATCTAATGGTAACAAGAATAGAAATGTATTGTATGCAAACATTGAGTTTTTACAGAATCCGGATGTCGGTAGACTTGGTGAAAATTTAACAGATATTTCAAATGATTGCGCAAAAACTCAAGAAATAGAAAATGCTTCAATTTTCAAGCGCAATACTGATGATATGAACAACTATTCAAACAACTGTTTCCCATTAGGTTATCAGTGCTTCTGCAATCTATTCCATGTTCTGTAAAAGCCGTCAATGAAGGTGTTGAGAATGACAAAAATGTTTTGGATAGAAAACACCATAAAGAGGACAATAATCACCACCAAAATGATAGGAATGATGGCGAGAAAAATCATTTTATACTTGGGTGTAATGGATGTTTTACTGGGTTCTGTTGTTGGAGGTTTTGGTGGTATGGTTTAATGGGTGGCTGTATAAAACGTATACCGAACACAATGATAACTAAGCAAGAAAGCAGTCAAAGTCATTCAGTTCAAATGTATACAGCATTATCAACTTCGCCGTCTGTATACGATAATTTCAACATGCGTCGTCGACATTCAGAATATGCTTTGAATAACTTAACGCATAAATATTCCAAGCATTACCGATCTACGGAGAAATTTCGTGAATTAGAACCCAAAAGAAAATTAGAGTTGGACTTGGCTATTCAAAATACATTCAGTACATCGATCAATAGAAAACTACAAACAACATCAAAATCATATTTTGGCAAATTAGTCACTAATAATAATAATACATGTCATTCAAGTTGTGATTCGGTTACAACATTTGAAAGAGATAAATCTGTAGATGAAAGGACTAATAACATTACCGACTTATCCGTGACACAAGCAATCATTCCAAAGTGTTTCTGTTTTATCTCATCACATGGTAATAGGAAATTTAATTATAACTTATGCAAATACCATACAGATTTTAGTTCATCATGTCGTCATCATCATAATCATAGTCACAATCAACAATATCGTCTACAGCATAATTCATATTTACACTTCCAAACACATTGTCAGCATACATGTAAACATAGCTGGCAACAAAAATGTCGATTTCCGTCCTCCTCCAGCTCTGTAACGAGTGATAATCATGTTACTTGTACAACAACTTTAAAGATGACAACAACAACAACTAATACGACTACTAACTGTAATAATACTGACATGAACAGTGACAATTTAGTAACGCAACGGTAACAGCATAATAAAAGGTTTTTAGTAAATAATGTTTTCCGACAAAAAAAATAATGCTACACGTTAATATCAGTGGGAAAGATTTAAATGTAAAGGAATTATTTGATTAGGAAGAGCATTTTCTAAGGATATTGAACGCTTAACAAATGAAGTCGGCTCATTATATGACAAGTAAACACACTGAATATATGATACTTTTCACTATAAGTAACTACATATTCTAACAATTGGATTATCTCATTGTCATTCATGTTAATAAATGCAAATTATTTTCGATTAATAAAACGGTCAAGAAGCTATTCATTAACATCATGGCAAGAATCGTTGATTATCTTCGATTTGTGATTATGATACCTAAATGTCTTTTTTATTTTCTAGCTTATCTTGTTTTTGGCTTATGGTTCAATGACCATAGAATAAAAGTTCAGTAAAGTTAGTAACTGTTTGCTGATTGAATAGTATGGTCCACTTTATTTAGTGTTATTAAATTAGCTGTGAAAATCTATTTGCCGTTAGGAACTTGTGAGCTAGTGACACTCACCCATTCTTCACGAGGTTTGTTTATTCTCAGCTAAGCATTCATGCGGTATATCAACAGTTCGTGAGACATTTGCCACTGTAATTTGTTGGAATAGTTGAAACAGTTCATATAGTCTATAAGATTCCGTACGATTTCGTGAAATTAACTGTTCACCACTGGAAAATAGTCAAGAGCTGACAGTCCCATACTTTTCACTGAGATAATCACTGACTTGGACTGCAATGTGTTCGCTAAGCTGACACCTGAAGTTAACTGAATATATCAGGTGGAGGAAGCCTGAAAGCAGTGATCACAATTATTATCATTATTATTTATCCCTTGGGTTCCTAGTGGAACGTGCGGCTTCAGTAGAACGTCGCCATTGAACTCATTTCTTTGCAGTCTTTTCAAGCTGGCGTCACGACTACTCACAAGCTTTCATTTCTTCCTCATATGATCTCGTCCATGTCATCGTCGTCTCAGACACCCACCTCGTCGTTTCCCCTTTGGATTCCACTCGAGGGGCTGGTCTAGTGTGTGATGCCCCAGTCGGCCTTCTCAGTGTCCAATCCAATCGATCTCCACTTTCTTCTGCATATTTTTGGGTGATGCGTTCTCAGTTGGTTCGTTGCCAGAGTGAGTTCTTGCTGCTTTTTCATTCTGGCAATCCACCTGATCTTAAGTATCAAGTGACCGTAGTCGGTAGCAGTTGATGAATGTCTGTAGTCTGTTGGAAATGTTTTTCGTGACACGCCAAGCATCTAAACCATTTAGCAGCACTGACTTGACTGAATTAGTGTTGAAAATCCGGATCATGTTCAGGCTTTGTGCTGAGTGCAGTAAAGTAGATCTCCACACTGGTTTCAGGCTAATGAAAGCCCGTTTTGCTGACTTTCCGGTCCTGGTTTTGACATCGTCGTCTGTGCCACCGCTCGTAGTTGAAACGATGCTGCTCTGCCTAGGTAGGTGAAGGAGACTACTTCCTTTAGGTTTCTCCCTTTGATGGCGATTGATGCTTGTTGTCGATGCTGTTTTTAGTTGAGTATCTTCATCACCTCCCTTGCTTCTCTACATTCACTTGAAATCCCATCTTCGCTGCCTCTTCTGTCAACTTGTCAGTTTTCGCCTGTAGATCTTCGAGTTTGTGCGACATTAAACATAAATCATCATTGGCGAAATCAAAATCTTCTAGGGTCTTTTCATTGGTTCAGCCAGCGTATGTCCATCTTCTCGCTCCTCACAGTTTGCTGCATTAGCCAGTCCAGTCAACCACAGTCAGGGAGATCATGGGCGGTAGTAGGCGGCAGCGTTGTCTTACTCCTGACTTCACTTCAGAGGCGTCACTGAGCTTCCATTGTGAATCACTTGGGATGACGCATCCTGATATTGCTACTGAATGAGGTTGCGTTGCAATTCAATCTGCACATGATTTTTACTTCCTGAATCCAGCCCGTTCCGGTCGTAATTTTGAATCCGGAGCATCTTTTAGTCTCTTCAGTATGGTATTGCATAGTATTTTGCTTGGTGTGGACAGAAGCATGGTTCTGCGTCATTTCTTGCAAAGACTTAGTTCGCCCTTCTTTGAGACTTTGACGAGGTAGCCCTGCTTCCAATCTGTAAGTACCTTTCCTTCCCTCCTTCCTTCCATCCTTGCAAACCTTCTACAACGGTGGTGCGAGCATGTCAGCTATTGCCTCTGCGTCTGTCGTCAGTGCTTCTGGTGAAATTCCATCTGGTCCTGCTGCTTTCCCGTATTTCAGCAACTTTATAGCGTTCAGGACTTCTTCCTTTGTTGGAGGGCCTGTGTTCACAAATAGTTGTGCGGCTGGGCTGCTGGTGGTATTTTTGGACGAGTTGCAGGTGGTGGCGGTCGATCTAAGAGTTTTTCGAAGTGGTTAGCCCATCGTTTCCTTTGTTTCTCCTCTCTGGTAACTAGGTTTCCTTCACTGTCCTTCATTGGTTTCGTCTGCGTTGATCTCTTCTCAGATAGTATTTTGGTTATTTGATACAGTGTTGTCAGGTTTCTGGCTCTTCTACTGCAGCCTGTTCTACTTCACGTGCAAGTGTGTCGTACAAGTGACTTTTGTCCTGCGCGCACTGTGTCCATCTAGTGAAATCAAATCCATGTCGCTCCGTGAATATCCTTATGTTTGCACAAACCAAATCATTGAATGCATAGAAGTCTGCAAACAGTTCTCCATTCTCATTCCTCATTCCACCGAGTGCTTCTCGGCCCATAATGAGTTCTCTTCCTTTGTTGTCGGCTCCCAGTTTGACATTCATGTCACCCCACCCTAACCATTAGAATGAATCTTGATGTTACCATCTTAGATCGGTTCTTTTGTATTACCTGAGTGCAGTTGTCTACAGAATTCCTTCTTCTTCCCTTTATCCGCATTATTTTTATGTTGCTTGGCGTGGCATTGTATGAATGTAACTCTTTTTCCTTTTGAATTGAATCTTGATGTCATGATTTGATGTTGGAGGAGATTGGTTCCCATGGCATGAGCGTCTTCAATTCTCTTATAGACATCATGATAGCTACTCCAAAACTCAGTGTGCTCGTAGTTGCCGTCTGGGTGACAATATCGGAGTAGATTATTGACTCTCCAGTTGACAGTTTGGACAGTCAACATCCATTCTATCTGCTTTCACAGATTCCAAGCACTTTTATGCCATACCTTCTCATCTGTTTTGCAATCTGGGTAGACATACTAGGTTCATGCACGGTGCGGACATTCCATGTCCTTATATTTACTTTCGCTTTCATTGGGAGAGAACGAGAGAAGACACATCGGCCAATTGGCTTTCTGAAGGCTTTTACCGTGTATCATTTTGCCTCTCCGATTCCAGTGAGGAGTAAGTTTATTTTATGTTTTATATTTTCTTTGTGCTTCGAAGTTTCTTTAGTGGTTACATTGATTTTACGGGGTAGGGTTACTAGTCCTACGTCCAACCTTCCCTCTTTATCCGGGCTTAGGTTCAACTAGTAACTAGTGAGTCAGTTTCGTAGGCGATGTTGTGATCCCAATACTCCGCTGTTATTTTGTACTGATTGATAAGTAAACCAACTGTTTTCATTGTTCATAAACAGAGTTCAGATCTTGCACTAATACCCAAAAATGTGTTGTACCGTTTGACATTCATAACTTTAGAGGCTAGTGCTGCTTTATGACAGTATTTAAGACTCGGCTTCAAAACTTGTATGGTTTTCACACACCCTTGTAAAACCTCTGCGTAAGCAATACGTGGATGTACTAGGCAATGATTGAAGGTGAGATGGAAATCTAAACCACAACTGGACTCGAATCAGAGACCACCGAGTTACAGGCCCTTTGCTCTACCAACTGATCTACTCCTGACCAGAAGTTTATTTCACTTCACTGGGCCGGTAACCCGTTGGTCGATGGTTCGAGTTTGGCCGTGGTCCAGATTTTCGTCTCACCTTCAATCATCACCCAGTACAAATACTAGTCTGCCAAACAACGGCTATCTTAGATAGTCAAATCATAATCAATACATGAATGTACTCAAGTAGAAAACATCAAAAACAAGCCTTTATTTAAGTCCAACTAACTCTAGTACATTAGCTGCGGAACAACAGCGTTTTGTTTATATTCTCACTAAAAACATATTTTCTGAATTTTAATCCGAAATAATATTTCATGTAGAAGTTTAGAGAGACCTATAGACATCTATTTAACCTGATCCAGTGAAGATTATTTTGTATTTATGTGCTATTAGATAAGCATATTCAATGTGGAAATAAAATATACAATAGTTCCCCAATTTTATTCCTAAAATGAAGGCTTGATGATCCAGGGACAGATAACATTATGAAACTATGTCGGTGACGCTACTGTTGGGAATTTCAAGACAACGTAGGCTAGAATTATTTATGTTGTACTTGGTACTGAACCTAATTTTCGTGCATGTTAGTGCTAGTTAGCAAGAAGCAGTTGGATCCCTTGCATAGCTCAAGTTCCCTCCCAGACTCGAACTTCACCAACACATTTTTCAAATTATGGATATCATAAGGTCACAAGTACCCTGCTATCAAACTATTTTGCTCATAGAAATGAATTCCCGAGGACCAGTCAGTGTGACCCTTAAGTACTAAGTATTCAGACCTGATTATTGAGAAACACTAAAAACTTACTATCTTAACTTCAAGCAGAGTTGACCACTACCTATGTATATGCATGAAAGACACATAACGTAGAGATTACCAAAGTTTTACTACCGTCAGCTTATGGAAAGTTCGATTAGGTACCGTACTTTTACTAATTATTTATTGAACACCTGGCGTTTTTCTTTCCCTGAAAATCCGCTTTTGGTCTTCTTGCCTTTAGACTAGGATTCCTTGACCATTAATATCCTTAAGAGCAAAGTATTGCAAAGTATATAATCTATGGTTTGTGTTAAAATTTGCTGCCTACACAAAGAAGCCTAAAATTAATCGCTTAAATAAATACAGACAAGA